CCATAACATCAAAGTATAGATGGTTGAATCTATATTATGAATAACCGTTGAGGCAAATAGCGCAGCATAAAAAACATTCATAGCCCGACAACACACTGCGAGGGTAACATAGGTTTGCACTCCGATATTAGACTAATATTCGGCTTACCCTCTTATTAAAAAAACCAAGGGCCATTTGTATGTATTTATGGCGAGTAAAAGTCCTTGTCAATAGGGTACAGGCTTCCCAAAAGGTTAATTTCGTTAAAACATTTCCACTATCAGCGTTTAGAGGGGAGAATTCAAAGCTAAACTCTTTTATCTCGCGTCTAAAGGTAATGATTATCAGCTGTTTGAGTAAGTATTATTATGTGTTGGTCGCCCTATGTTAGAGAAAATATTCTTATCCAAAATCTGTTAAAATTGAATCTAGACGCTGTTCAAAGGAATTAACTTTATTCTTTAGGTCTTCAACGCTGTGCTTACTAAATTGTGTAAGGCTTTCACCGTCATGGCTTCAGCATATCATGGTTTTTCGGGCTGTTCGGCCGACCTGAGCGAGAAGAGGTTCTCGACGGTTCGCCATCACATGCGGACCGCATGATCAGGAGATGTCAACGCCGTCGAACGCAACCTCTTCTCGCTCACGTCGGCCGAACAGCCCAAAAAACCATGATGTACTGTGCTTACTATTAATATTATTATTAGTATAAGGTACATAAGAGTTATCCTTATTATAATTAGCTAAAGTAGTATAAAATTGTTCATTGATCTTATTAAATAAATAAATTTAGGTTTTTACGTATCAGCGGGTAAAAAGTTTCAAGTAGTAAGTAGATTCTGAAACAATTGTTAATTGTTTAATTGTACTCGTAGTAGAGATTGTTTCTAGGTACCCATAATCTTAATTAATACTTCAGTATCTTCCGGAAATTGCAGTTTTCCGGAAAACATAATTGTTAATTTCAAATATTTTTAATTCACCCATGAAACTGTTCGAAAGGTTAAAAAATAACTTACGTGCCTTAAAATTTAGGTTTAGACCATTAATTGAAAAAATTTGACTCGGTATGAATCGGTAGCTCAATTGGTAGAGCAACAGCACGAAACGCTGACGATGTCAGTTCAAGTCCTGCCCGAGTCGAAAATTTGTTCAATTTACTTTCGATTTTTAAATTATATAGTGCCTTCATGTGCAATAACATGTGGAAAAAATATTAATTTCAAAAAATTTAGGTTTAGGCCATTTTGGTACTAGGATAAAGACCGCCGATCAATGACACTTCTGTACAATAAGAAAGAAAATATTGCCTTATTCTGGTACCATTTTATCAGGCAAAACAAACCAAATACCGCAGTATATTAATTATCGATAAAGTTGGGTAGAAATGCGACACCATCAGAAACACGTGCCACTTTGTTTCCTATAAACATCGGTCTCGCATAGATTTTAATAACAGCCACGCGCCATGTTTTATTAAAAAAATATGTATATCCAACCAACATTAATAAGATTCCTTTAATATAAACTCACTGTGCGTTTAATATCTTGTATTAAATACTCTATCGTTGTGAAAAATCTCTTATAATTTTCTCGTGATATGCTTAATCAAATATGTATCTATTTTGTATTGTATATGTTAATTTAAGTGCTGAAAACACGTTTATAATTTGAGAAATATGTTTTTCAAAATCGACCTATCTTAGGTTTCCTTCAATTTCAAAAAGATTACTATATCTAAGTAACATTTTTTCTTACAGTTTAATAAAATACTATTTTTTTAAATAAAAAAATGTAATTTTTTTGGGTCGTGCAAGGCACAGAATCAGATCAGCCTGTCTGTAATTATATTAGCAACGAACACAGAAATATTTTCATCCATGTTGATGGAAAAGATATACTTATTTTTTATAGTAATTTTTTATAAACCAAATGTAAAATCGGCAGCGCACTTGTTGGTGTATAGGGTTGGTATACAGATAAACTTGCTTGTCTGTCGTCCGCTAAACCTCTGGCTTTAAAACGCGATATATTAGTTAACCTATATTTGAACATGATTTTTAACTTAGGCCCGACGTTTCAGATGCTTTGCAACAGCCGTGGTCACGGGTCCCGTGTTACGGCTGGGGCACGGGCCCAAGTTAAAATCATTTTTAAATAAGTAACATAGGCTTTGGTTTGAAACCGTAAAAGTGTTTTATTTAAACTCGAAAATATTCTTAAAACTGTTCCTTGATAGAGTAGCTAATATATGTAATATTATGTTTTTCGTAAGTGTGTCACCATATGTAAATCATCCAAGGGGCACTAAAACAAAAGTAAACTGTAAAAGTTGGCGACATATAATTGAAATTCTTACGTTAATGTTTTCGGCCAAGTTAAACACAAGTTTGTGCACTCAAAATCCTCGGGATATTTCGTTATAAAACAAGTACGTGATGTCGTAAACAAAACAATTAGGTATGCTCATGAGATGTTAAACGTGAGGTTTTACGCTGTAAAATGGTTTTAAGGTACGCTATTGTAGTTCTCTATTACGCCTTTGTGTATGTTTCTATTATATGTTGTAAAGCTGAAGAGTTTGTTGGAACGCGCTAATATCAGAAAACACTGGTTTAAATTGAAAATTTGTTGTGTTGGTTAGAACATATATCGAGGAAGGCTTTAAGTTAAAAACGTCACGCCCTGACCAATAGGAGCGAAGAAAGAGAGGGAAATGCCGAAAAACAGGGGAAAATTATTCATTGTAGAGGGTTTCCGTAGCGCACGCCGCGTTATCTAAAAAACATGTTTGAAATAATTTATTTCTTTCTAAATACAAAATGACGTGACATTTTATATGATCTTTAAAGATTAACTCACAAGACCGTTTTCATAGTAATCAACTTCTGGTCAAATTACACTTAATAAGCATAATAACTTTTGCCTGGTCAGCTGGTTAACTAATGATGGGCGAAAATGGACAGTTAACTTTTTTAGCTCTTATAAGAGCAATAGCAATACATAATTTGTAAAAAAGTGAATTATCTATATTATTATGCCTCAGTTCTAGAGATACAGCCATCAGTGACAGGCGACACGAAACTAAAAGTAAAAATACATAAATAACCTCCGCGAACAGTCTACCAGTTAAATCAATATAATAATGGGTTTTCCTTTCGTAAAAATAAAGATTTCGTCCCCTCGCATCAGTCAGGTGTCGACGGCTCTTACTTAACGCAATCCGAGAGATATTGACTTTAATTTTCCGTTCTGTTGACGTTACAATTGATATATACCTCAGCCAACAGTGAAAATGGACCTCCGCTTTTTCAAATAACAAATTGTGGCCCATCAATCCTTGCGTCACTCATTTTCACTGGCTCCTGTGAAATATTAGAGTTATCTTTGGAGGAAAAACTATTTCCACGAAAACAATATTTCACTTTGATTATTTTTCTATTGTAAATAGCCCAGGGATGTTATCGAGATAATTTAAGTGAGCGCGTGGCTAGCCGGAGGCTGGTGAAGACTTTTTGCAAACTGACTAAATATTAGTTTAAATGGATATTGTTGTGTAGGTATGTGAAATCCTGTATCCCAAATGTTTTCTTTTTGGATGAACACATTTCCGTGTCCGTTCTAATATACGAATTATTTAGAAGCAACATACGTGTAAGTAAGCTCTGTCGCTCCAAAACAATTTTTGGTTCCTCTAAGGTTTGAATCTAGTTCCTGGTGTGCTTCAGTAAGGAATTTAAGACTTGTTTGAGCTATGACGGCGGATATATTGCGCCATTCTAATATTTTGTATATTTTCATAACCTTTTTGTTCAGTTACAATATGCAGTTTTAATACTTCAATACATGAATAAAAATGTTGATCTGCCTAGGGTTTTTAAATTATAACGCCATCTGTGAAGTATTGGGAATACTATGTACAGTAATGAATTAATTTAAATATTTAGTTCATGGTTAAATCACTAGATGGCAATATAAATCATTTCACTTTTTTTTCATTTAATTTTATTTGTGATCAATCATTTTCGTCATAAAAAGAAATGATAATATGCCGAGCATAGGTAAAAGGATTTTTATGAAAAGAATTTTCTATTTCATTGTATATTTTATATTATTGTATTATATTTACCAGGATAGAACTTTTGGTTAAAAAAAATTATAAACGTATATCACTGCCATCTGTGAATAAGTGACAAAACTATGTTTTTGTTTTCAAAAAATACTAGATGATTAGAAGTTTATACAATTTGCCAAGAGATGGCGTAAAACTGAAATATTCTTATTTTTCTTTTTACTATGAAGTTTTTAAATAAAAGCTTTGCGACGCTATAATACAAAATACACTTAATCTGTACTAATATATAAAGCTGAAGAGTATGTTTGTTTGTTTGATCGCGCTTATCTCAGAAACTACGGGTTCAAATTGTTTTTTTTTTGTTGGTTAGAGCACTTACAGGGGAATCATTCTTTCATATATTTATGTATTTTTTGGGTATCTTGAACGGTTTTTACAACGTACGCCTCGGTAACGCATACTAATGATGAATAATTTTCCCAATTTTTTTCACATTACCCGGCGACCGACGTGGTGGGTAACAGCTTAAGTTTTTAAAAAAAGGGTTTTAAAAACGAATTTGGAAGCCCAAAATAAATATTCTTAGAGGACGACGTCGCAGACACAGCTAGTCAGTTATGTAAATAAAAGTTATATCGCAACTTAGCAAGGACCTGAGACTAAAATTTCAAATATTTTAAAATTTTATCATTATTATACTACCTAGGTACTTACATAAAAATTATTTGTATATTTTTTATTGTAATCAATTAATAAAAATAGTGGTGTGCGAGTATATCAGAAACGTCTATAAAATAGGTACTATTGTTACTAATTAAGTACTTCGTGATAATATTTTAACCGTCACTTATCACAGGCGAGGAGGATAAATTGTTGAATTCACATGAAATTCTATTAATAACTGGACATTTTAATGCACGTACGTTTTTCCAGAATATAACCACAATGTTAATCGTACGGACGTTTTTGTTAGTTTACAGTGCACAATATTTAAATGGGGATACTGGTAAGATAAAATTTTTTTTTTTCTTTTTTTTTTAAAAAAAAAAAATAATTTTTGTTTTCCCCCCCCCCCCCCGGGGGGGGGGAAAATTTTTAAAAGGCGCGGGGGGTTTTACCCCCCCCCCGGGGCCCCCCCCCCCCGGGGGGGGGGGCGGCGGGCCCCCCCCCCCCCCCCCCCCCGCCCCCCCGGCCCCCTGCCCGAAAGAAAAAAAAATGATGTTTTGAAACTAATTCACCGTAGCCCCTAAGCTAGTAAGCAAATTTTAATTTTTAAGTTGTTAATAATATTCGATGCGATTATATTGTCTTGTTTTTTTTAAAATGTGAAACCAAACTAAATAAATGTAGCGTAGATTTTTTGTATTTTATAATATCATCAAATAAGAAATTACTTTTTCTATGTTCATGTGTGTTATATATTTTATGTGTTATATTATTCTATATAATTATGAGAATAACAATATTATAGTATGAAATACATATAATTTCAAAAAATTCATGTAACATAAAATTGATTTATAATTGAGTATCTGTACACCTGTATAATCTATCCTCAATTACTGTCAATTGTGTGACAATTGACAGTAATTTTCATACTTATAATTTGTAGTTAAAAATAGGATACTGTTTTAAAATTTTGTTTACAATCTTTGTTATTGAATAGAGAGTTGGTGAATTGAAAATGAATGAATAAAAAACTAATTCCCAAAGTTTTTGCTATCTTTTTTCTGATAAACAGTTCCTTGTCTGACCAATGTAGCAAAATATCTTTACAGGGACAGAGGCAAATACAGAAGCTACAATTAACCAAGACGAAAATGTAAGTAGGCATTTGAAATGATCTCTAGTTTTATAAACGTAGATATATAATACGATGTGAAATAAATAGTTGTATAAATTATTTAATACATCTGACACTAACAATTTGGGTTTTATTATTTCCATTTATGTTGTTACCTCTGATAACATTTGGGATATATTTTAAGTCTTAGAATTCCTAGTTTCGAAATGAATGTTGGGCATACTTCGTCTTTTATCAAAAGATATTAAATAATTTACAGGAATTTCATGAAGGCAGAAAAATAACTGTTGAATGGGGTGAGTATCATTTAGTCGTTATTTATTAAAGTAGTACTAGTAAAAATCCTTATTATAATTGATTTGTTTTTGTTTTCAGATCAATGTGCATTAAGAATAGTAAGTTCTTTCATTCATCTTTATTGTCAAAATTACTTGTATATATACCTTTTGTCTTAGGCAACTTTACTCTTTGGCATTTTGGCTAAATTTAATACAAATGTAGCTTAACACAGGATATATGAGACCAGATAAAATATCTCATTACATTTTTCAGATTGGCAGTGGTTTGGAATGGGATGGTAGTGTCGATAGTTGCACAACAGAATGTATTGGTGAGAAACATAATTATTGGTAACAATATAATACATATTAGTATGTACCACATTTACTATGTTATAGTAATATGTGTAGTTAAGAACAAACTTTTATATGTTAATAAATAGACAAATTATAAAACAGGACAAGACCAAAAAGGATATACCTATTTACAAGGGGAAAAAGAAAAAAAAGTGAAAAAGCCTATCTCAGATGAAAGTAGAGAAAATTTGGGACCTAAACTACTTTCTGAAGATGAACCAGATTCAGAAGAAGCTACAAATGAAGCTAAACCAAGTAACAAAGAGCAATCAAAAACAGATAAAGATAAAATAGAACCTGGTTCCACAGACTATGATAATGGACCATTGGACACATTAAAAATTAAAGGAGAACCTGGACTAAACGGAGACAAAGGTGATAATGGAGTTATTGGATCCCCCGGCATTCAAGGGCCTAAAGGAGAATCTGGGCAAAAGGGAGATAAAGGAGATAGTGGCACTATAGGAGCAATGGGTTCTCCGGGACCTTTGGGTGTACCTGGGGAAAAAGGAGAACCAGGAGAGAAAGGAGATAAGGGAGATGCAGGTTTAATTGGAACTAAAGGCGATAAGGGACCACCGGGATTCAATGGTATTGGAACACAGGGAGAAAAGGGTCAGAAGGGTGAACCGGTAAATGTAGTTTTAATTTTAACATGGTTAAAAAATCTATTTTAGACTAAAAATAATTGAAATTAAAAGTGGGTGTAGAACTGGCTTTGCTTTCGCGATCACATTGAATTTTTTCCAATTCTTTCAACTCTTGTGCAATGTAATTTCAACCGTAACACTTACGTGTTTAGTTTTATTGTTCTTTGCGAAAAGTTCCTTTTATTTTTAATTGGAATACTTGGGTATAAGTCTAACTGTAAAATGTATGACAATGTTGAAAAAAATAAATAAGTACTTACTTATGAATTAAAAAATATTTCAGGGAGTCTTCGTTGTTGGCCCTGCTGGACCTCCCGGACCTCCTGGGAAAGATTTTGAAAGAGGTAAGCTTTGTGCACAAACTTTTAAGTTGTATGTAAAATTTATTACCTTATGTAATGAAACTTAATATATAAAAGAGATGAGTAAAAACTGTTGTGAAACTTTTTGTATAAACCAATAACAATATAAAGTACACTTCAAAAATAACCAACAAATAAATTTTTAATATAAGTTTTAACATCCTTTAGGATGGAAAATGCTTACAGTTTGTTTGAATGTGCTAATTTGGAACTACTTGTTGGAATTTAAAAAAAACTTTGAAAAATGATATGACTAATAGCAAGCGAAATTAAAAAGAGAAATGTAAAAGAAAAATCAAGGAAACACAGAAATAATATTTATGAATGTCAGATTTATGTATCATGCACTTTTGTTGCAGATTTAACAGGCTCCGAGTCACGTGACAAAAATCTGGGATCAGAAGCAAACCCAGCTAAATCATGTTCGGATATAGATTCGAGAGAGAGTGGTATGCACTTGTTTAAATTTATTCTGTACTCTGATATATTTGTTACTATTATTAATTAAATATAATTTACATACTTGCTATCAATTCACAATCGTTTAGTTTAGTTTAGTTCGCCTTTGTAGAACAGACTGAAAAAGATGTACTATTTCCATTTGCAGCATTTTCTTTTTTTGTGGCAATAAAAAACTTCTTTTTCCTTATAAAAAGAAAGAATTTAAAAAATATATATATATTTTCTTTCTTTACTTAAAAAATTTGAGTTCCACTGGTACTAAAAGACTCTACTATACCTAGGTGGGATGTTTTAAGTTAAGGCATTAATAAACAAAAGTAGCAATAAGGTTTCTATTATTTATTTAAATATGGTAAAATTTTTATTTATTGTTTAAACTATAAGACGTTTGAGGCCATTTCGCAAAACTGTTAACGAATTGTTCGACCGTCGTAATTGAGAAATTGTTCTCGATGTTTTCTCCATGACTAGAGATTCTTCGCTTAGCCGAGTAGCGCGATTTCAAAATTTATTTAATACAAGCTTTGTTATATGGTATTTTTATTGTAATTTTTAGGTAATTACCACCTTAACCCGGCTAAAGTGTTCGAGGCTGTATGCGACTTTGAAGAAGAACGTGTCTGCATCCATCCTAAGACCACAGATGATAAGTTCTATATTATACCTTCGAACACCACCTGGGTGGGAAAAACTGAGCTGAACATGGAAAAATTCTATGATGATGTAAGTTTAAGTATATTTTACATATTTCTTAGTTTCAATTAATATTGCGAGAGTTTTGTATTACGAGGTTCTCTGTAGCCTTCTTCGTATTCGAATGAAGGTTCGAATCTCGGGAAAATAGTGAATAGCTTCGGCCGGGCGGGGCACAGAAGTCTGAGTAACTAATTGCCTGAAAATCTAATTAATTATAATAAAATAAAAATTTCTTAATGTCATTTAAACGTGTACAGAAATGCGTTCACACCGTGCCTTTCCCTTTGGGAAATTCGATGTCAATGTTTTTGTGAGACTATATAATAAGAATGTAATAATAATATACCTTATATATCTATATAAGGTATATTATTATAAAACATATACGATTTGCTTGCGTAATGGTACATACATACCAACATTACTATACCAAAATCTTTACAATGCATTGTAAACGGTGACACGATACCGATAAATCCACCACGATTTGACTGTAGACTGTCTTTAACATATTCAATCTTTTTAACGTCTTAATACACATTTACCCTTTTCAGATGTTCCCCAACATCGAATACCTGCGCAAAATCACGACGTTTGCCTCGCAAAGGATTAAAATAAACTGTAAAGATGCGTTCAGAGTAATCGACGGACATAAATATTTGCAAATGCTTTTGTGGAGCAACGTCCTAATCGGTCCGACGCCTACAGATCGTACGCCCGTGCACTATAATATTGTCCACGACACTTGTGATGTAAGAATAACATAAAAGTTAATACTTTAAACGGTTTAAATCGCGATATAGTCTTCCCAGACCACTGCTGTAATGCAGTGCATATAATTGCTGCAATAATTTTCCTTGTTTTGCCCCCCTTTCTACTGCTTCTTCTACTGGCCGCAGCGTAATGTTGTATAGCCTAAAGCCTTCCTTGATAAATGCTCTAATCTGAAAACAAATATATATATATAATTTCGATCCGACCGCCTCTGTAGCCAAATGGTTAAATGTATTGCCGCGAATATTGCATTAAGCGCGAGAGGTTCTGGGTTTGAAACTTAGGGAAACATAAAATAGTTTCGATCGGGCAGGGCACAGAAGTCCGTTTCACTGGTCTGAACGGATCAGTGAAACGGACACAGAAATGCGTTCGCCCCATGCCCCACGAGGGGGAAACGGGCTTTTATAATTTCGATCCAGTAGTTCCCGTGATTAGCGCGTTCAAACAGACTCATCTTTATATTATTAGTAGAGACTTCCGTATTGATTATCTTTTTCAAGTAACTTGCCCGTCTTTGTATTTTCCTGTGCACTAACAAATTACTATTTTCAGAAACCTGGAGGCTTCGCTGAATTAGAAATATCAACATACGGAAGCCAGCTGCCGATAATCGATATGTACCTAGATACCCTCACTTCATCGCCTAGGTTATCGATGGAACTAGTGGAGTTATGCTTTAGAGATTAATAACGAGTACGTCAGGGCCACAGATGGTCAGATAAAATTACTCCAATCGAGAATACGTTTTATTTAGTACATTATTACGCCACTGTCAGGACTTGAACCGGCCGTGCTGTTGCCATGACCTACTCGTCATCATCGAATCCTTTTTCAACCCATTTATACATGCACCCTTCGCTTAATTTAATTTCAACCTTAACTTTTGTGCATTAAGGTTGAAAGTACATTTTTACAATCTAAAATAGATTTTTAATTCATAGTGCCATTATGTCCAATAAAATGTGAAAAATATTAAAGTTTCCGAACACACATTTGGTAATTTGAAAAGATTTCATGACACGAAAATATTTTTTTTATTCCAACATATTTTATAAAGCTTTTTTGGTATTTAATAAAGAAATAACTTAGTAATGGTTCAGTTTTTAAAACTACAAACATTGTCTACGATTGTAATTTGTAATATTAAAGTAAATAACGTTCTAAAGTTTGTGTAAAGATGGCGCCATCTATTAACCTATTCGGTAAAAAGTAGCATTTACTGTTATTCTAGACACATTACGATTGTGTACTTAATCTTATTCTACCTGAGCAAGCCGTAACTTAATTATTTTTAAAACCATTAAATCTATATATAGGAAAAAAAATAAAGTTTCAAACATTATCTTGGTGTGTTTTTCCTTTTCCTTTTGCTTCACCGTCGTTGCGGGTTCAAAAAAATATTGATATATATTAAATAAAACACTTTAAGGTTTAAAACGCGATATATTAGTTAAACTTATTTGGAAATTTTTTAACTTCGCCCGACGTTTCGATTTTGAGAGTGTTTGTGGACGTTTTATTGTTTTTATTAAATTTATTTAAATGTGTACTACTCGCGTTATTTATAGACAGTATATTTTATATTTTTAGAAGTACACAGTGTTCTCCAGTTAATGATTTTGTATTTTGTTATATTTGTATTATTTATTTTAAGCTGATGGGGGTACTCATAAAAAACTTGTATATTATTAAAAATTAAAACTCAGACGCCTATGTGCTTGGTGTTTATATTTTTATATAATATTTAATATAATTTATTTATTTACATTAAGAAGATTTAAATAATAAATACATAATAATATTCAGTACACGGAGTTTTATACCAATAAGATCTCACAAGTAATTAAAAGTGAGTCGAGGGCTCATGGGACTAGGCTTTCTTGCGCTACAGTCAGCAAAACAAGTGATGCCAACTGTATTCCAATTTTAGTATTTTTATTTATCATTTTTAATTTCGAGAAATAATTATTATAAATGATAATAGTATTTTAATTACTAATTAATGAAGAGTCTGAGAGATAAAAATAACCTGATACATTAAAAAATATTAAATTTTAGCGCTTCAGGAAAAAAAATTGTCATCATATGTGATAAGACAAATTAGACGGCCTGAGTAAAACTTGTACTATGTTAAACCATAAAAATTAAAGAGATTAAAACAAAAGACACAATTATTTACTATTATTTAATTTGCTAACAGTACATAGAAGACTCCTTCTAATTAGCAAGTTCAGCTAAATATTACATATTTTATGACATGTAAATGTTAGCTGTTATCGTACAAATTTGACCTTTATATGCATTAGGTTAAGGTTTGAAATCAACAGTACGCAATCAGTTTTCGCTAACTTTATAGTAATAGCAGTTATCTTTTACGGCGAGTTTGTTTTATTACGATATAGACTGAACTGGGATGAATTTTGTTTACAAAGTTAGGCAGTGAATGTTGATACGTTGAGATCCCCTGTTTTGGATAGGGCTGCCACAAGCTACTATTTTCTTCAAGTGTAATGTAGTGTGTGTGTAAATTTGAGTTATTTTACCAAATTGAAAAATTCTGCAAAACTACAGAAAACTACTATTTCCTACTATGTTATATTTATTAATAGGTATTTCACTGTATGAATCATATTTATTTTTTCTATATTGTATTCAGTTCTAAACAAAGGTATTTTCTAGAAACGTAGACGTCCGGGGGTGGAATTCCGGGAAAACAATAAATTGTTTCGGTCGGGCAGGGCACAGAACAGTTTTACTCAACAAAATTAACTAAAACTTGATTCTAAACAAAATCTTTCAGGGAAAAGGACACAAAATGTGTTTACCCGATGGCCCACGAGGGGAAACGGGATTTCCTGTTAACCTACGTGATAATCTTATTTTAAAATATCCTATTCTGTAGTAATCGGTATACTAAGACATAATATATGCACTTTAAGAATCGAACATATGTTTCAAACTTTTGTTTTGAAAGAGTTGTTCAACACTTTAAGAGCTTCTGGGCATAATAATGAATATTTAAGTTTTTGCTTAGCTTATGCTAGTTCAGAGCACGTAAAACTTGGTCTAGACTGTAATAAAGTGAAGTTTTCTTTTTCACGAGCTAATAAAAATATGACACACCATCATAAACATATACACTGCCAGACTTACCGCATTAATTTTAATAGACTGTGGCCGTGACATTAGGAAAGATATGAGCGTATTTGCAAAATTTCATTAGAATTAGCGTAGTAGTTTTGGGGCTAGAGTTCTCTTTCGTGTGTGTTGTTATTTTTTTTGTCAGTTTCAATAACGTCAAATGTATAGTAAAAACTACGTTTGTCTTATTTTCTATGAAAAAAAAAACTGCTTTAAATTCGATGGAAAAATGTTGTTTCGAATAGCTTTATTACAACGATTATAATAGGGAAATTTAAATTGATTGTTTGTGATGTTTTATGGCTGGAGTATTTCAACTTCCGCCAAATGAACTCGATCATAAGGAGAGCCAAACTTTTTATAAGGTGGCACAATACAAGGAAATTACTGTCTTTAATTGGATAAAATACTCCATAATTATTATAATTAGGAGTGACTAAGCAATGAATCCCATAAGGTCTGCCCGTGGCATTTTAACAAACTTCCGTTGATACGAAACAGACTTTATTATAATGACACATTTTGCTGAATACGAAATGTTATTTGTGATGATCTCGTTAAAATACTTCTTGGGTTACGCGTTATTTTTATCGATAGTTAGTCATCAATTAATGTTTAGTTACTCACGTAAGGAATTTTGGGTTTTTATTGAGAAAACGACCTTCAAGCAAAGCTCCTATTAGTTTCTTCGAATATCGACCTCAAGGAAGTAAAGAGAGCTAGGCGTAGAAGTTTTGAATTTAGGGAGTGGTGGTTTATAGTGGGACGAACCAATCGTTTTATCGTGCGAAAAACCAAGATATTGATTATTTTAACTACACATACGTATATAAAAGTTAGACATAATAATATGTAAGAAGTTTTATTTTTCCCTATCCCCAAAAAAACAAAAAATAAGCATAATTTTTGTATATATTTTGAATTTTGTACCGTTTATTTTAACTAACTCCTGGCAGAAACTCCTACGATACTTAAATCAAAAGCTTATAATTTGTTAAAATAATTTTATCAGAGATAATTAGTTTATTTGTCGACATTATTTTTCCTAAATGCAAAATTTTAATTTCCAACATTTTAAATGGCAAATCTAGATCGAGACAAAGAAATTGTTAGCGCACATAAATGTTTTACTAAATACCATTGAAGTAATTCCACACGCAACGAAATAGCCCAGTTTATTTGCTCTTATCGCTGCGATAAAGCTCATAATTAAAGTGGAAGCATTCATAAAGCAATAATCATTAATCTCCCGGAGTTGGGAACTACTCCAGCCGCGGGTTTTCGTAGGAATTTTATTAATATACTTCGGCCTTTGTTCTTAATAAGTTAATGCGAATACTTTCCGATCTTAAGCTTTCGCGTAGTTCTCAACGTTGTTTCCGATATTATTTTTTACTAGCTGTTACGCACGACGTTGTCCGCGTGCTGTTGTTCTTGGAAGTTCTTACAAGACATATAATTCACATTTTTTGAGATGATTCTGTTATACATTTTTTTTCGGATTCTTTTACTGCATCTTCTTTTCTCCTATTGGTCGCAGCGTGATGGTATAGCCTAAAGCCTTCCTCGATAAATGTCATGTCATGTCAATGTCAAAAATCAATCCATAACAAGAATTTTTCATTTCGATCCAGTAGTTCATAAGATTAGCGCGTTCAAACAAACTTTATAATTTTATTTTACTCGATTAGCAGTGACAATGTCTATTGTATGTATCCTACTTTTTATGATAGAGAAGAAGACAAGCCCCCCTAAACCCCATTCGCTTCATGGAAGGTGAAATATAAGCCTTATATCATCTAAAAAAGAGTCGCTGTCGACTGTGGCTTTGGATTTTCGGAAATCCACAGACTGAAACTAAGACGCGATTGAAATTCACTGATTTTTAATCTGTGGTTCGTGCATAAGGAATGAAAAAATATATATGAATATTAAATGTTGAAATTGAAATTTCATAATTTCAATATAGACAGATATTTGTTTATCTATTAATTGTTTTTGGTGACATTATTTTGACAACTAATCTACCAGTTTAGACCGTGCATATTTATTTAAATAATTTAAGTAATAAGATTACTTTTCATTTACAATCTCCTTTTATTTCGTTATAAATGCCATCCTAGCAACACTTTTTTGTTTCCGTTTTAGAATCTAATTATCTTTTTACACCGGGGTCTCATAATCACACAAAAAGTCACCCCATATCGGAAAACAAGAGTCACATTTCTACAAACTAAAGTGTCATTATGACGGCACATGCTGTGAATTCCTTTTTTTAGAATACCGGCCAAGAGCGAGTTGGCCTCACTCAGTTGGTTGGTTCTGTGGTGGTGTGTGTCAAGTCCTGCCCGTGTCGTAATTTTTTTTTCAATCATAAATAGATTTTTTATTTATATCATGTGAAAAATATTAAGCTTTAAAAAGTAGTCATTTAAATAAAACATTCGTAACAGTTTAAAACGTGATTTTCGTTAGTTCACTTATTTTACTGCCCGACGCTTTCGAAGTTAAAAGTGTTTTATTAAAATGTGTGTTCTACATCTTTA